TAGCATACTAAACAAGGTGACCAACAATGTTCAGTAAGATGAAAGAAAATATGCACAGCTCCATTAAATAGCAAGAAGAAAATAGCTAGAGAGTTTTTTTCAATAGTTATAACATATAAATCTCCCCCAAAATTGGGTTTAGTTTATTGGGGAAAGGGAAAATGAAATGGGTAAAGAAAAGATATAACCCATTCTAGAGAAAGAGAGAAAAACGCAGATGGAGACCACCAGCCTGCAAGGTCCAGCAGCAGCTCCTCCCCGTCGTCAGCTCTTCCTCGAAATGGGTCTGCTCTCCTCAAGTTCAGCACCATATTTGGAGTATTTCTCTCTTGGGATCGATTCCCTCTTGGGGAATGATGGTGAGACAACCTTTATTTTGTTGTTTTTATAGCTCCTTCGAAAATTAGGGCAAAACTCAGTAAAACACGCGTTGTACAAACATAAGTAAAAAAACCTGCATGTTACTGCGCTGCCCACGAATTTCTGAAGCAAGCGATGCTCCAGCATTGACATGCTCTGGCACAACAACGCTCCGACATTTCTCCTCTAATTCTGGCATTTTGCTGCTCCTCAGCAACTTCTCCAAATTCTGCATAATTAAACCAAAACTAGGGGAAATATTTAGGAACTTGCATAACTTCAGCAACATGAGGATTTAGCATGTGATAATTAACTTTTCCGCTCAATTCCTCACTTTAGCATGCTTCTTAGATAAAGATCCTCACATTGAAGCACTAATAACCCAATTATTTACTAAAATAACTCTCTTTTGGAGAACTATCAACAGCTCAAGTTTGTTTTGTTGCACATATTCGGTCAGTCAATTTCTGCTCTTCAAAGGGGGTGGCGGATGCAAGGGCTAGGATGCTTTTGGCCCAGGCTGCTTTTTTGGGTGACCCGTCTTCTGCTCGATTTCAACATGAGCAGTGAAATGTACAGTGGATGAGTTTTGCGGGTTGGCCTTGAGGGAGGAGGCTTCTCTTCTCCAAAAATTTCGAGTCTGGTGCTTATCGTTAGGGGATCAGAACTCTGCCTTCTTCCATAGGGTTTTTAAAAGTCGGGTGGTGTGTAATAATATCGTTTCTTTGCTTGATGCCTCAGACCGTCAGACAACTGATAGGGGGGAGATTGCGATGATAGCAGTTAAGTATTATTGTAACTTGCTGGGTAAAGAGTCATTGGGTTATCAAGACTATACTGATCGGCTCTCTGATATTGTGGACTTCGCGTGGCTAAAAGAGTGTTGTGTTGCCTTGTGCCTACCTGTAACATCGACGGAGGTACGTGAGGTTTTATTTTCTATGAATAGTACCAAAGCCCCAGGCCCGACGGTTTTTCTGTGGAGTTTTTTAAGGCGGTCTAGAGTGTTGTAGGGGATGATTCTTGTAAGATTGTACTTCATTTATTTGAGTATTTTATCTTACCCAAGGGGATTAATGCTATTTCCCTAACTCTTATTCCGAAGGTCTCTAATCTTGTTGGGTTAGGTGACTATATACCGATTTCGTGTTGTAATGTGTTGTATAAATGTATTTCTAAAATTCTAGCTAACAAGTTGAAGATGTGGTTACCCTCTTTCATTAGTCTTAATCAGCCAGCTTTTGTGCCAAGGTGGAGTAGTGTTGATAACATTTTTCTTTGTCAGGAATTGGTTGGGGGTTATCATCTTAATAAGGGGTTCCTCTTTGTGTGTTGAAGGTTGACCTCCAGAAGACTTATGTTTATGTCCATTGAGACTTTATTTTTGGGCTTCTGCTAGCTATTTGTACTCTAAGTTATTTTGTGAACTGGATCCGTGCCTGTATAACTTCCCCTATATTTTCAGTCACGTTGAATGAGCCCTTGAGGAGTTCTTTGCTGGGAGGTGTAGGTTAAGATAGGGTGATCCACTATCTTCTTATCTGTTTATTATGGCTATGGAGGTGTTATCACGTTTGTTGAATATGTCTCCTCAAAACTTTCAGTTTCACCCGAGGTGTGAGCGGATTGGTTTGATCCATCTTTGTTTTGCTAATGATTTGATGATTTTTTCAACAGGTGATATTGAATCTTTGACTTTTGTCAAAGATACTTCGGCTTCTTTTGAGAACCTGTCAGGTTTGAAGGAAAACTATGGGAAGAGCTCTTTTTTTGTGCAGGCCCTTTCGCATATTGTGGAGGTTTTAGCAGCTACGGTTAGCTTCTATGTTGCAACCTTGCATGTTCAGTACTTGGTGGTTCCCCTCCTTTCACGATGTCTCTCCTATCCTGATTGTAAGCCTTTATTGGAGCACATAACGTCGCGGATTCAGAGTTGGTCAGCTCGAGTGCTCTCTTATCCGAGCAGATTGCAGCTTATTTGCTCTGTCTTGCAAAGTTTCCATGTTTATGGACGAGTGTTTTTATTCTACCTAGTCGGGTTATTCATGAGGTGGATAGTATCTTGCGATCCTTGTTGTGGAAGAGGTATGTGGATGCTCCTTCAGGGACGAAGGTGGCATGGTCTCAGGTTTATTTGCCGTTGAGTGAAGGGGGTTTGGGCATTCGTCATTTTCCTTCTTGGAATTTTGCTGCTATTATGAAAAGTCTTTGGCTCTTGCCTATGACGGCAGGTTCTCTTTGGGTTGCTTGGGTGGATGCTTATATATTACATGGACGGTGCTTGTGGGCAGTTTCTTCGCGATTCTCTTGGTGTTGGAGGGATATTCTAAAGGTACGAGATCGTTTTCGGCCTTTGGTTAGGGTTTTTATGTGGGATAGGCATCAGTGCTTTGTGTGACATGATGCTCGGTGACTTGGTGGGTCCATTTCTACCCAGTATGGTGATCGTGTGATTTATGATGCTGCTAGTTCTTCTCAGGCTAGAGTCTCTGATTTTCTCCCCCCTTGAGGGGTTTGGAGGTGACCTTGGTTTTCGTCTGATCTTAGTAAGAGATTGTGGCTATTTCTCCCTTCATCGGGAGGAAGAACTTGTTTATCTGGACCTCTATAACTTCGGGTATCTTTTCGGTATCTAATACTTGGGATGTGGTGTGATCAAGTAGCGTGCATGTCCCTTAGTTTCGGTTGTTATGTTTGAGGGGTAATATTCCCAAACACTCTTTTGTTGCTTGGTTGGTGATTCGTGATCGACTTTATATGAGGGACGGGATGCATGGGTGGGTCTCCTCTATTCCTGTCTGGTGTGTTTTGTGTGCGGCTGGGGCGAAGTCTCGTGATCACTTGTTTTTTTAATGCCCTTTTAGTATGGATATTTGAGGTGCTATGATTTGTTAGTCATGCTCTTTGCATACCATTGGAGGTTGGTCCATAGAGCTTCATTGGGTTCGTCGCATCATTGCAGGCAACTCTCTGCGTCGTCATGTGTGGTGGTTGGCCTAGTCGGCGACTATTTATCATATTTGGAATGAGCGTAATGCATGGATCTATGGGGGACCTCCTAAACCGCCTTCCATCCTCTTTCGTGTTGTTTAGAGTGATGTCTATTTTGATGTACTACTTAGCGTGGTAGTTGTTACTCGTCTACCCAGC